GTGGTGGTGGTGGTAGGTGTTCTCTCGAGATTTTGCTGCAGTTCGGCAGTCGTTGCTGCTGCTGCTGCTGATGCTGGTGCTTCAGTTTTGTGTCAATGTATCAGTGCAGGGAAAAGAGGCACTGATAACAACTGTCTGCCTGCCTGACTGTCTGTCTGTTTGTGTTGTTGACTGTATTGACTGTGTGCTGTTGTGCTACCGACAACGCCGACAACTTTTTCCTGCTTTGCTGCTGCTGCTGCTGCTGTTTTCAGTCTTTCCAGTGTTCGCCTGTACGAGCAGTTGTACAGAAGTGAGCTAATGAGAAAGAGAAACGGAGATAATGAGCGCGGCGGCGGTGGTGGTGGTGGTGGTAGCAGTACAACATCAGCAGCAGCGACTACTGTTGAAGAAAAGAAGAAAAAAAGAAGCACTTTTAATTACGGTAGATTGAGAGTAGAAAGAAGGAAAGAAAGGTGAAGAATGGGAAAATGAGCAAATGTGAAGGTAGCCTTTTTAAATCGGCTTTTTAAAAGGAGAGCGGTTGCGATTGAGTAAACAGTAATCCTTTGGCTCAGTACTACTAAAAGTCAAATGAGTGTTTGTTCTGTTCGGTACAGTACAGTACAAGTACTTGAAAGTATTTTTGTACTGCTGCTACTGCTGCTACTGCTGCTTAGCTGTTTTGTACGAGGTATAAAAAGGCTAAATACAGAAAAAACGTTTGATTAGCGGAAAAAGGTGAACTTACTTTGGGAAAAACTACATAAAAGAGCACTTTAAGTATTTGGGAAATTTAGCCGAAACAGAAAGTAGTAGATGGTACAAAGGTGTCCAAAAGTTCTGATTAATGGGGAAAAACTTGATAGAACTCACAGAATCAAAGAACAGAAGCTTCAAAAGTGAGGCTACAAAACAATAACAAACAACAACAGCAGCTCAAAGTGGCTGTGCAAAGCCAAGCTTTGCCCTGCTGGCAAAATCGACAAACGCAACTGCGTTAGATTTCTTTAGCTTTGGCTCCGTTTCTGGTCCATTCTGAGCTGGTGGTGGTAGAATCCTATATAGCACTTCGGAAGCTAAACTGAAGGATTGGAACATTTTTGGATCGGCTATAGAATATCAATAGAAAGCAGCAGCAGCAGCGACGGCACAAAGCTGTCCGTTGAGTGTGACAACAAACACTGTTGTGAATTACGCTTCAGAGCCACTAGATTGCAGCAGCGACTTTAACGAAAATGTTTTTAAGTTAAAAACCCGCCAAATTCTTTTTCACTGATCATTTTCGCAACTTTGATAATTATGCTGAATGCCGTTGAATAAATCAGCCATTGAGAGTCAAATAAAATTAAATACGTTAGACCAAAACAAAGTTTTGGCTCGGTACGACCGATGGCACTAACAGTTGTAATGTTTTCAACTAAATAATTTTATGGCACTTATCAAAAGATGTTACACAAACAAATTTTAAACTCGTCGTACAACATAACCAGCGGTTTCAAGTGGTGCTGATTATTGGGCACACTTATTGCACACACTTGACTTAAAGTCTGATATAAAAAAACATGCAGATTACATAAAAACAGCACTTAAAACTCACAAAATCATTGCTTAAATATCAACATTAGTTTTTAAATTTAAAACCATTTTTTTTATTGTAAAATGCTCTCAATGAAAACCACAGTTTTTCCTCTTTCCACGACTTTACTTTTCCAGCTATTGCTTTTGTTACTCTGTCACAGTGAAACAGTTCAAGCTGAAGAGGAGAAGTACACCGTTGCCAGTGTCAATGTCAGTCAGGCTCATGTAGGCGAAACGATAGCACTGCGCTGCGATGTGACCAACGCCTCCGTTTGGGGCTTCCGCCGAAATATTATCTACTTTAAATTAGCCAACATTGAAGATGACGTTGCTCTGTACTTTATCAGTATGTAATAACTTTTTTTCTAGTTTTAAGTTAACACTTTTTTTTGTTGAAAAAAAATCTTGATCATGTTTTTTTGTACTGCCACCAGAATCCACCGAACACGGTAGCGAAAATGTGACCTTTGACCCGAATCCAGGCGGCGTCATCTCTAAGGTGATTCCACTAGGAAACATCTCAAGAACCTCCTATCAAGTGGGCATAGTGGCCAATCAGAGTTTCAGCTCCCAATTCTACTGCACGATGTGCAATGACCACATTTGCACATCCAATTCTCATGGAGTTAACATTTCAGTGATTCCCAAAAAAGAAGTGGAGCCAGCTTTGGCTCCAAAGCTAATCAGCAGTGTTGGCAGTGTTCCACTTGGGCATCCCTTCACTCTGACCTGTTCCCTTTCGAACGCCTTTTCACCGCAAAACAAAAGCTACCTGGTCGTCTTCTACAACAGTCGAGATGCCCTGTTGGCGCGCTATGAAGTTGATGGTAAAAAGGGAGATTCAAATAGTCCCTTAAAATAGTGTCACAAGTTTTTATTTTTAGCATCCGGTGGGGCATTTCTCTTCTCAAAGGAGTACCCTAGCGTTTCAGTCCACCGCGGCAACCAGTCAACCTTTCCCAACTTTGATTTGGCGGTCACTGAACGGGTCGATCCACAGCTAAGCTACCGGTGCAGCCTGTGGACGTATACGCCCTTTCAAATTAGCAATTCAAACCGCTGGAAACCAGAAGAAGCGCCTTCGGTTAACTTTACCTCAGTGGTCAATGGACGGGAACATCAGGGAAGATGTCTGGTGGAAAATTTTGCCCATCACACAGACCTCGATTATCAGATTCAATTTTTCACTGATCTAGGACCAAAGGCTAGTAACCTTCTAGGGACGTACTTGATTAAGGGTAAGTAAAATTACTTGGAAACCTTAAAAAATTTAATTTTGTTTCGTTTTGGTTAGCCAACCGAGTGATCGAGTTTGACGTCCAAACAGTGTCACATTGGGATTTGATACTGAATGGCGCCCAAAAGACGTATCCGACTTTTGAAATTCTTGCCACGGTGAGTGAGGGCGTCAAAGTGGCCAATCACAGCTGGTGGTGCGAGCTAAGTTACACTGAACCGGGACAGGGAAATTTCATTCAATTGATCACTTCAACTCATTTGAGCCTTTGAGCCTTAAAACTTAAAAAGTCTACAATTTGTAACAAAAAATGGTATTGTTTTGAATTAACAA